TATGAGAGAAATGATATTGAGTTATTTAAATATAAAATATACAATGAAGCTAAGAAACACAAAAGCATCAAGAACGTTTTCGTTGATAACGAGTAATGTTAAAGAAATTTATTTAAGCAGACAGTACAATCCCATTCCAGTATACCATAATAATATATATTTACCTATACAATACGAAATTATTTAACGTAAAAACCCATTTTGTTCTTGTAGGGGTAGCTCCTCTTTTATACCGTTTTCACGTTGCATATTATACATTCGCCTTTGGAGGTAATGTACCACAAACACCAATAAAATCAGTAAACCTTGTAGGGAATCTATTATCTGCAGAGCAAATAATATTCCAGATTCAAAAATCGCCGTATCGGAAAAAATACTTAAAGATAACCCAAGTGCTAAGAAAGTAAACATTGTAAAGCACACTACTACACACTGGTAACACCTAAAATGTGAAAAATACTCTATCTAAAATAATTTTTAAATTCTTTTTTATCAAAACATTATTCATGTTCAATATATGTTTAATATATAATGTTTAATAACTAGTACAATGTTTTTTTGCCAAGATATAGGCAAAATGTTTTCACGTTAGATATACGGAGAAGGTTGTGTTTCGATTTAATTTGAGTCGCTTACCACTCCCTGACACGTGTTTCTGGGTCTACCCGTCATCAGAAGGAGTTTGTAAGAAGACTCAAACTAAATCAAAGCGCACCGACTACTCTGGCAATTACAGGAAAATAACTACCAGAGTCTGCTACTAGAGACCTCTAGTCAGAAAAGATGAAGTTAAATACGTCGATAGCAATTAAAATAAACAGTATACCCCAACTTAATCAAGAGCGGTGCTGGAAATAATTATATTCCACTATTCACCAACAATGTTTCACGAGTAGACCTAAAAACACGTGTTAGGGAATGGCAAGAGACTCAAATTAAATCGAAACGCAACTTTCCTCGTATATTTATCGTCCTTACTCGACGCAATGAGTACAAGAATGATGGTAATTTATATGGGTAAATTGTTGGTGCATAAAGGAATATAATTATTTCCAGCACCGCTCTGAATGGCTTGATTAAGCTTGGGTATACAGTTTACTTTAATGGCTATCGACGTATTTAACTTCAACTTTCCTCACTAGAGGTCTCTAGTAGCATGCTCTGGTAGTGATTTTCCTATAATTGCCAGAGTAGTCGTGTGCATTTTGATTTGGTTTGAGTCTTCTTACAAACTCCTTCTGATGACGGGTAGACCCAGAAACACGTGTCAGGGAGTGGTAAGAGACTCAAATTAAATCGAAACGCAACTTTCTTCGTATATTTATCGTCCTTACTCGACGCAATGAGTACAAAAATAATGGTAATTTATATGGGTAAATTGTTGGTGACAGGCAAAATGGGTCCTGTTCACTATGTCCAGATGCAAAAATCCAGACAAGAAAATTTTTGCAAGATGCTCGAATATACCAAATCACCTAAGGCTCGATAACGTCTGCTCGAGATCGAGATGAAATTTTTCTAGAGCTTAATCCTTTTCATAGCGTGGGAAGCGTATGGTTTACATTTTATAATGTATAGTTGTTATAGTAATATAACACAATGACTGAAGTAACTCTTGTTATTATAGTGAATTCTGATATAAGTAGGTAATAATAATTTTTAACAGATAGTAAGAAATCTTCAGACCATTTGAAATAAATTATATACTATTTTGTCCAAAATTGGCCTTAAATAAATTTTTCTCAAATAAAAACTACCAGCTCTCCTGTGTTAGATATGAGAGAGTATTTAATATTTGCTATGTTCGTTTCTTGAACTTGCAACTCGTTCTTGAGAACTCATTCTTTTATGTACTTTCCCAGATGCAAAGTACATAAAAATATTTTTAATTAAGTTTGTGACTAATCACATAAGATACATATGTAGTAATTAATACGACAATATAGAGTGAAAGTCAGATGAGTCACGGAGAAACAAGAAAGTTCTATCATTAAATAAATATTATTAGAAAAGAATCCACACCAAAAATCATCTATTGTAATGATAAGAAAGGTAACTTACTTACCAACAAAGAGGAGGTCCTTTTACGATGGGTAGAGCACTTTCGAGTGTTGCCTGAAGGGAAACCTACTAACAATATAGAGCTATAATACCGAAATGAGGAACTCGTGGAACCCCCCTCGGTAGATAAAGTGAAAATATTTATAGAAATACTAAGGAACCACAAGTCTCCAGGTAGCGATGGCATCCCAGCAGAGTTATTTAAGCACGGTGGAGAGCAGCTCACCAAGGTGATGCGAGAAATTGTTTGTAGAATTTGGTCTGAGGAGCAAATGCCTGAAGAATGAAGCTTAGGCTTAATTTGCTCGTTACACAAAAGAGGAAACAAACTGGAATGCAATAATTACCGCGGAATAACTCTCCCAAATACAGCATACAAGATATTGTCAAATATTTTGCACGAGAGATTAAAGCCTTATACCGAAATGTTTCTAGGAGAATATCAGGCAGGATTCAGGCGTGGACGTAAAAGCACAAGAGTTTAACATAGATATGTATCACATTTTTGTCGATTTTAAAACGGCATATGACAGTGTCTTAAGATCAAGTCTTTACAACGCTATGAATGAGTTAGGAATTTCAAAAAAACTAATATGTTTGATAAAAGTGACAATGGCGAAGATGCTATCAGCAGTAAAATTTCAAAACGACTCGTCAACCCCATTTGAAATACATAGGGGGTTAAGACAGGGAGATGCGCTGGCGTGTCAGCTTTCTAATGTTGCCTTAGAAAAAGTTGTACGAGACGCTAATTTAGACAGCAAGGGAACAACATTTAATAGATCAGTCCAAATTCTAGCATATGCAGCCGACGTGGACATAATAACAAAAACTAGGGCGAGAACTGCGGAAATCCTAACCGAGCTAGTAGCAGCAGCAGAACGAATGGGGTTACATATAAATCAAAATAAAACCAAATTCATGCCGACTAACACAAACTCAAGAGCTGGAAATGTTGACGCAAATTTAATCAATCAATGACCAAAACTTCGAAGCAGTCAAAGAGTTCATATATCTAGGGACATGGTCTATCAAATTGTATAACTAACAAACGTCTGTCTCAACAACCTCGTATAAGGCTGTATAGAACACTGATAGTCCCCTTTCTCACGCATGGACGCTAACTAAAACAGGTGAATCCGCTCTATCGATTTTTGAAAGAAAGGTGCTAAGCAAGATATTCGGAGCGGTCTGTGAGAACGGAATATGGAGGCGTAGATATAACTTTGAACTGCAGAATATCTACAAGCATACGTTTGGTGGTAAAGATATTACCACTATAATTAAGCGAAACCGCCTGCAGTGGGCAGGACATATTCGCTGTGAGTTTCGCCGGTAGCGCTCTCTCGCGGTTTGAAACTTGTACTTTTCTTGTAAAATCAGTGTAAATGAAATATAACAAAACGAGAAAAATAGATATTTATTTAAAAATACAAAATAATGAACTGAAATATTATGGTAAACTGATTAATGAACGAATACACAGAATTAATAGTAAAAGTAATTACGCCTTGTTATTTTATTCATTATAATTATAATATTTAAGATATAAGTTCTTGCGACTGGATGACTACTTACGCAAGAGGTCATTGAGAAAAAGAAGAAGTTTATATGAAAATATTTAATGGTTAAAGCAAATATTTAAGGTTATAGACGCTTAAAACGTCTATATTCTGGTTACCTATACCTCTGTAACGTTGTAATTCTTGTTTTTATTTTACATTTTAATTCTGTTTTTGCTCAGTTATTTTTTTTGTGCGTAGGCCTTAGTGCTTAGATATCAATTTGTTTTAATTCTTCTTCTTCTTCTTTCGTTTTATGGCCTCCATCTCCTAAATTTGTTTTAATTTTATCAAAATGGATATTAAACATTATACTGGTTTTAAGTCTATATCACATGATATCCCATTTCAACCAGCTACACCAAAAAAGGGAAAAGGTTTAGTTGATGCAGGGCATGTACGCAATGTTTCGAAATATAATAGCTTTTTAATTTTACACCATACAAATATCATGTTTGCATTATAGGTTATTTACTTATTTTTCTCGTTGATAGCAATAATCCATTTTTCTCTTTGAACAATTTTATGCTTGGCAACAGGAAATGAATAAAATTTAAAATGACTGTTGTACCCAGTATTTTTACATGTATCATATATTTTTCTTTTTGAAAAATCCATATTCGCCATTATTTGAATGTTTACAAGTTAAATGCACAAAACTGCCACTAACAGCGTTGGTGAAAACTGTCAAATCCCCTCTACTCATCGGCTCACAGCGAATAGCCCGGGACCCTGAATCGAACATGATAAAAAATATTCTAACAGCATAACCCGTGGGAATGAGAAGACGGGGTAGACCAAAGCTGAGGTAAATGGATGGGGTAACACAATATGCGGAGAAGATCGGAGTCGGCAACTGGAAAATGCAAGCAAGGGACAAAACAGAATGTCGAAGACAGCTTGAGAAGGTCGAGGCCCTCTAAGGGCTGTAGCATCAAGATGACGATGAAGAGAGAAAATATTTTCAGGGCTGTATTCTACTTAATGCTGTAATTCAAATTTAACAGCAAGCCTGGATTAGTAATGTCTTATTACATCACAGACTTACAATTAATTTAAATTTCATAGGAACATTCGAATAAACCAAAGGCCGAGGCCTCTGAATTTAAATTAGGAGGATTATTAAGGATTTAAAGGATAAGGATGTATAGGATTATTAGAATAAACCAAAGAGAATAACACTGCACTTTGCTTGTTGCTTAATTAATATTTAGCAACGTAAGCCCAGATTATTCAGGTCTAATATTGATTACTTTTCATACAGTCAAAAATTAGGAAACACAGTAAAACACAAAACCTATGATGTCAAAATGCAAATTTTTATTTACACCATGCATAAATGACTTAAAAAACTATTTATAAAAAGTTCATACTTACATATACTTAAAACGACTTTTTTTCTCCAACCACGAAATATTCGAACGATTTTCTTTGCCAGTCACCCTTATGAGATAAAACGAATAAGTTAAAGATGTTACAGCAGCAAGAAGAAGAAGTACCATGGGAATAAATAAAATAGCTATTCGTGTTGCTGTATCTAAAATATTGTTAAAATTAAAATAATTTTAATCGGCTGTTCCAATAGAATTCGAAATATTACAGTTAATGTTACAACCCAACATCTAGTTATTTGATTTATATTGTATTTGTTGTCTTATATGATTTAGGTTAAACTGGTCCATAGTGGGACGCGGTCCATAGTGGGAATTTCACTCTCCTGGCTATTTTATCATTGCGGCAGAGCTATATTCCAGTGTGTGTGCTATCATAAAAGTGCCGCCTCCGAATCTTGTGTTAGTTTTTCAATTAGTACTATGCGTTTTGATATTTTGAAAATTCAGGTGAGTGATAAGCTGAAACTTTTTATTTCCATGTTCATATTTTTTCGAATAATTCGCCGAAATGTATCCTATTTAACTTGAATTTGGTATTGATATCTAAAACATACATAACCTCAATATTGTCGTATTCTATTTAAACCTAGCCCTACCACTTTGATAACATTTTTGCTCATTTGTATTTTGATGCGCCATGATCCATAGTGGGAATAAAAAAGTGGTTCATACTGGGATATGATAATAGAATGCGGTCTATGCTGAAATATACTAAAATATGCTAAACATTTTCATTCTTTGCAGAGTTGAATATGCCGAGATATCCAAGATCCCAACTGTCAGCAGTTTTCGAGAAAAGCCTAGAGAATCATGAAGTAAATGTAAGATCTGTGCATTCTGCAGTAGAAGATGTTGTAAAAAATCAAATGTCATTAATGAGTGCGTCCAAAAAGCATGGTGTAAGCAAGTCAGCTCTATAGCGCAAAAGGAAGAAGTTCAAATTAGCTAATAAAGCTAATGAAGACAACACAAATGATTTTGAATATGGATGAACCCATTGTTTCAAAAGAATATTTACAAGTAGAGAGGAACAGCTATTGTGCGAGTACATAATTCAGGCTTGTGTAATGTGCTACGGCTTAACATTAATACATACTCGTGAATTGGCTTATAAGTATGCTATTACTAACAATAAAATAGTGCCTCGAACTTGGCACGAGAAAAACGAGTTGGAGTCGAATGATTGAATAATTTTAGGAAACGACACCCTACGTTATCGCTTCGAAAACCAGAAGCAACTAGCCTTGGGACCACCAGCTTCAACAAGCATAACTTGGCTACATTTTTCACATACTTGAGAAGTGTAATAACGAAATTTAATATCCAGTCGAACCAGATATACAATTGTGATGAGAATGGTAGCATCAATTTGCATAAACCCGGGAAGGTACTTGCTAGCATTAAACAAAAACAAATTTGGAAAAGTGACAAGCGCTGAAAGAGGCACATTAATAACAAAATGCACTGCAATATGCGCTAATGGGACTTATGTGGCTCCATTCTTTGTATTCCAGAGGAAAATATTTAAGCCTTTCATGCTTACTGGGGGTCCTCTAGGGTCAGCTGGTGCCGCGTTTCCTTCTGGTTGGATGACGGGAGATAATTTTTTGAAGTATATAGAGCAGTTTATCAAACACGTGCGATGCAGTAAAGAATTACCAGTTCTACTAATTCTTGACAACCATGAGAGCCGTTACGATGTTCGTGTGCTGAATCTATGTAAAGATTTACAACCGCTCGACGTGAGTTGCTTCTTTCCATTTAAAGCTATTATAATCAAGGAGTTGATGACTGGATGCTAAATCATCCTGCCATACCTATGAGCATTTATGGTGTTTGTAATGTTGTTGGTACGGCCTACCCCAAAGCATTCACTCCTGTCAACATTCTCAACAGATTTTAAAAAACAGGCATAGCACCCCTGAATTCCCAAATTGTATGTCATCTTATGTCACTGATAGGTCCGAAGAAAATGAAAATGGAAATGGTAACGAACATAGGGCTAACGAAGATGCTTAGAATGTGGAAGATGTTCAGGATGTAAAAAAACCACGACATTTCAGCCCAATTAATGACCCATCCAATATAATAACCCCTTACCAAATTAGACCACATGCCAAGCTGCTCCTAGGAAAAACCTTAGAAGAAGCAGAAAGAAGCTACAGTCAGAAATAATAACAGACGCCCCCATAAAAGATGCCACAGAGGAACAGCATAAAGAAATATTTGCTAAAAAACATTTTCAAAAGAGAAAAAGCAGAAGGCTAAAAAAGTTAAACGTCAAGTTTTTAATGACGACATTAGTTCGAACAGTGATGTTAGTAAAGAAATCTGCAACGATTCTAGAGAGTTAGAAAGCTTCACATCAGAAAATCAAGATTTGTCTATTCAAAGTCATGACTATGTTATAGTAAGATACACGACAATAAAAAAACTGTTAAATATTATGCCGGTCAGGTTATTAAGATAAGTAGAGATGAATATAATATCTCTTTCATAGAAGCAGAAGATATTTTGTTAAAACTGCCTCCTCCTGCCATTATTGAAACTACAGTTAGGGCTGCTCGCCAGTTTATCTTCCCTGTTAATTGTTTCAATTTAAAATAGAATAAAAGAGTTTTTTACTAAAAATCCCACTATGGACCAATATGATTCCCACAATGGACCATATAGTGGTTCATAGTGGGACGAGTGGTCTATAGTGGGACTTGTTGAATAACATTTTTTATAAATAAAGTATTACTTAAAATTATTATTAGTTTGCTTGCTAACATTCATACCCATGCATAGGTACCCTTACTATAATTTACAAACGCTTAATCAATGTGCTATACACTTTTGAAAAAAAAACCGTCCCAGACCAGTTTACCCTATTTTATTAATAATAACTTCATGTTTATGCCAGTCACATAATTGGATTCAAATGAATCTTTCAGAGAGAGGAAGAAGTAACGAAAAATCAAAACAACTGCAGATGCCAGCAATAAATCCAATTCTAACTCATTGCTATTTCAACCTTTCACTGAAATTTCACAAAGCTTTTATCCATTCTTTTCTTAATAAAAGGGGTGTAATCTAGCTCGCACCCGTAAAAGAATTTTACACGTGCACCCTGGGTAATGCTAAATGAGCTACCGCGATAGTTGGCGACTAGTCTATCTCTTAAATATCTCCTAGTAATCGATATTCATGGAAACAGTTACAACAACTAGTTCTTCTCAGAACTATATGACAAGAAGCATTGGTCCAACCCTCCGAATATGCCAACTAAATATAGAAGCACTTAGTAGATCAAAGTGTAAGGTACTATCTAAAATCCTGCTAGAAAATAACATTGACGTGTCTACCATTTAAGAAACTCATGTAGGTGATGAAACTGATCTAAAACGTAGGGGTAAAGTACTAGGATAGGAAATTCTTGGTGTCCCATATCACCATATATACAGCTGTATAACATACATCCACAGCAATATAGAAAACGCCCATCTAGTGGACACCACTACCAATGGAAACGTTCAAATCATTACAGCAAAACTCGAAGAACTTACAATTGCTAATATATACAAGCCCCCAGAAACCCAGTGGCCTCCAGAAGTATTGCTTCATCTTTGCCGTTCGGCAGTTTATATCTTTTTCTTCTAGTTCCATGACCGTTATCGATCGTTGGATATCATGTTGGCTACCATATTCGCTATCGTGACTTTATTGACAGCAGCTCTAAATAACGATGTAGTTGATTTTCCATACCATTGCCCTAGATTTTTCAGCCATGATGTTCTTCTTCTACCAGGACCACGATTACCTTGGATCTTTCCCTGAATGATCAGATGTAAAAAATCATATTTTTCAGGGTGTCTCATAATATGACCGAAGTATTCCAGCTTGCGTTTCTTTATTATATTGACCAGTTGTGTTGTTTGGTTCAGCCGTCTAAGGACCTCCTCATTTCTAACTCTGTCGACTCAGCTTATTTTCAGTAGTCGTCTGTATACCCACATCTCAAAGGCTGTCAAGCGTTTAAGCATAGCCTCAGTTAGATGTAGCAAGATATCATACGAACTCAAAGGTCAATGCTAAGATCGTGACTGCAAAGTACGTTTCTCATTTTTACAAAGGCAGCTCGGGCTTGTTCTATTCGGCTTTTAATTTCTGCGGTTGGATCCCAGCTCTCATTGATATTACTGCCGAGATACACGAGTTTCTCTACTCTGTCCAGTGTGGCATCTCCGACTTTTATACCGTCATCATGTATATAATTTTGTTTGCTAACTATCATATATTTAGTTTTCTTAGCGTTGAGTTTTAATCCATACTGATCACAAGTCTGTTTTATTTTGTTCATTAGATTTTGAAGGTTTTCTCCGCAATTAACAAGGACTAAGGTATCGTCGGCATATCTAATATTGTTGACGGTTACTCCATTCACAATAATACCTTCGGTTGTCTCCATTAAGGCTTCCTTAAATATTTCCTCCGAATATAAGTTAAAAAGTAAAGGCAACAATATACAGCCTTGTCTCACTCCTCTTTTTATATTTATTTCATCCGACAGTTCTTGTTCAACCTTTATTCTTGCCACTTGATGCCAGTATAGATTTGGATAGAAAACAGAACAGGTAGACAACTTACGAAGCCTATAGACACAGACAACTGAGTTAGACAGGAGGAATCACTAGGATCTTTGCTCGTCAATTTAATTAGTTATATTAAAAAATACTCGTAGACCACAGAACATTGATATTTCATGATTAAAATAGTCTACAAAAACTGATCTAGACAACACAGGACTATTGTGTGTACAATGGGCTCAACAAAGGCAGTTTATATGGGAGATTTTAATAGCCACCATACGATGTGGAAATATCACAGCAATGATATATATATATATATATATATATATATATATATATATATATATATATATATATATATATATATATATATATATACCTGGACATACCTGACACGATGGAAGAAAGTTTGGCTACGCTGACGACCTACCAATAGCAGTAAAACACAAACAGTTTGAAATTACTCAAAAGGTGCTGACAAACGACCTCAACAAACTATATAAGTATTTCACAAAATGGCGCCTATCCAACTTAAATAAAACTGAGGTAAGCTGTTTTCACCTCAATAACAAACAGGCAAATAAAAAATTAGAGGTCAAAATAAGAAATGTAGCACTACCCTACCAACCCCACAGACCACTAATAACTAGACGTTTCACGTAGGTAGCTCAAGGTCAAACCAAATTTATTGTCAGTTGTAGTACCGATACAAATCTTCAGATGTCGCTTTACTCTGTCTTTACCTTTACTCTACAGTTTAGGTTTAGAACACAACTAAGAATTATAATTGTCAATCGCCAATTGTCATATTAGCGTCTATATTTTGATTTTGTTAAATTGTAAATTACAAATCCTCTACCTCAGTGATATGTGTTTTAAATGTTCCTGGTGGTGTTCAAACAGTATTTTGCAGATTAATAATAATTAGTTAAATGGTTTTTCACAATAAATGTTGTATCCTACAATGTACCAATTCGTCATTAATTAGACATGCCTTCCCAAAGCCTGATAAAGACATTACACGATTTAGGAAGTGGCTTAGTGTTACAAATAATCCTAATTTAGATATGATGAATCCTAGTACAGTTTTTAAAACAAAATGAGTCTGCAGTACACTTTGAAGATAAGTTTGTTTCTTGATGGAGTCATAAATTGTATAAAAATGCAAATCCTAGCTTACATTTGTATGGTGAGTCCATTTGTATAGTGATGATATTATTCAGTAGAGGAGTTTCTTAACGAATAGTGCTTTGTACAAGTAACTAAACTATTTGTATAAATATATATTTCAGTATCACATGCTGAAACTTAAATGTATTAGTTCGTAAGGATTTATTAAGCAATTTATTTAAATTTTAGAATAGATTGTGTATTTTATTATCTTTTATTTTGTGATATTGACGATTTATGTAATTTCAGTAAATTTTAAATTGCTATTTTTCTGACTTTTTGTAAGCTTTGTCCATAAAATTGTACAATTTTCAGTGGTAATAGCATATTTTTATTCTATTCTAAATTACAAAGTTGTTTTACAAGTGTTAAATAAATAAATAAATTACATTTTGTTTTATTTTTTCCTACATGGTATTGTGTATATTTGAATTTAAAAATGTCAAATGCATTTTTTTTTCAAATATATTAAATTATATTTAAATATTTTAAGCTTTATTTAAATTTTCCCACCAAAATTAAAATTTGAAATTCCCGCGTAATTTCCCGGTTGAATTAGTTCCGATACGAATCTTATGGAGCGCTGAATTTCATATCCAACTAAAGCATTGTCGTGGAACATCTAGGAGGTAGGTGATCTGTGACCAACCCTACCCAACATATCTAGGGGTTACCTTGGACAGGACTATCTCATTTAAAAAACATCTACAAATAACTGCACAACAAATAAGTAGTTGAAATAACCTTATCCAGAATCTTTGTGGTAACAACTGGGGCGCATCTGCAGATGAACATCTGCGCCAAGTTTGGTTTATTCTGTGGCAGAGTACTGTGCACCGGTCTGGCTAAATAGTCGTCATGTGAAAATAGTTAATACGCAGCTTAATATAGCAATGAGAGTGATTAGCGGATGCATCAAGACTACTCCACTATATTATCTTCCGATCCTTAGCCATATTCCTCCGCCTATTCTATGAATACAAAAGGCCTTGATAACGGAGTATTCGAAAGTAAATAGCAACTTGCAACTACCAATCCATGAAGACATCCCGAGTTTAGCAGCAAACCGACTCCCATCCACAAAACCACCCATAAGAACAGCCCAACAGCTAACAGCAGATGATTTCAATGTTACCTCCAGATGGCGCACGCTGTGGACTGAGGAAGTCCACAGCCACGAAACATATGAAAGAGCCTAAACCGAATTAGAACGGGACATGCAGTATGCGCACACAACTTACATAAATGGTTAAAACAGCCTACCTCCAGCTGCGACTGTGGAGCTCCAGATCAAACCATCCAACACATAGTGGAGACATCTGAATTGAGGGCATATCGAGGGGACTCAAAAGACTTTTTCAAAACTACGCCTGCAAGCCTTGAATGGATAGCCTAATTTGACTTAAAGATATCACCTTATCTGTTTGTATTATCTTATATTTTATCTGTATTTTGTCTATGTTCGTTTTTATAATCTTATGTTTGTATTTTTTAATTATGTACTTAAGTTTTTTACAATTATTACTGTATTTTCTCCATGTATTGAGCCACACGCTAAATAAATAAATAAATTCTTAATAAGATGTACGGGATGATTCTTACCTTTAAACATACACATTCCCCTTCCTTTCATAAATGAAATCGGTACATCCGGTGTTCCTGTAGGAATTATGGATATAACTAGAACAACACATGGAAACAGAATTGATCCGGCAATATATAGATATATCCTCTCTGGAGCTTTATCTTCTGCAAAGTTTCTACAATAAATAATTAAATAATTTTTAATTGAGCTAACTCAAAGTTAAAGGTTGGAAATAATCTGTCAAGTGGATTCCAAGTGAATAAAGGCCTTAAGAAGGGCTGCTGTCTTTCCCCGATATTACTTAAAATTTATCTAGAACAGGCTCTAAAACTGTAGAAATATGGGAATGCCAATTAACAACAATAGACAATACACTTTATCATTTGCAGATGATTAACTATTATCCGTTCACAAATTGTTGATAGCACGCAATATGCCTCAAAGTCATAAAACGGTCGTTAAATTTATATCATCATAGGCGTTCCTGAGGTGTTTATTTAATAAAATGAATATTAATAATGTTTTAATTTTTAAAATTTTAATATTTAGCAAAAAACAATTCATGGCTATTGTTGTTTATTATATCATATTAATAAAAATAAGAATTTAACCATTAACAATTTTCTAAATAAGAATACCTTATCTCTTTGGATATTTCAATACTAATCTTCGCGTTTAATCACTTTCTTAGAAAACCTGGAAGTCATATCGGAAAGTACCATTCGTTGTAAGATAATTAGGATAGAATTCTCCAGATTTTTAATAATATAATAGGTATAGATGCCGGCTTTGGCCACGTGCCTCGTCTGTTCAGTTTATATTCGAAACTTAACTTGAAAGGGTGAAGTTATTACGAACGAAAACAATTTTTTGTTTAGTACGTTTTTGATCGCATGTAATTTACGGCTCGTCGGTGTTTCCGCGTCTACGGCAGTAATTAGCGTCTCGAATATTTCTTGCAGTGCAGTGCGTAAGTGATTTTTTATTCCATATACCTACGAACACACGTACCTTTCGCTTGTGCTCGTTTTGTTGGATTGTTTGTGATGGCTTCATCATCAACATCATCAAGTTTTACACCGATACTTTTGCGTACAGTCAGGAAGTATGTCTATTCACCAAGAGAGAAGACTATTGTCCTGAATGTTTGCGAACACTGTTCGTAACATAGTCGAAAGTTGTGTCAACATGACTGGCGTAGGAGAGTCAACTATATAAAGGTTCTTATCAGAAAGAAAAAAAAAACAGTATAGCTAACCCAAACACAAAAGAACACTTAAAGAGAGGGAAAAAGCCTATTGAAATTGATGAATTTCAAACCTAAACAAAATTTTACAAGAAGTTAGAGACGATCCGGATTTGCCTCTTATTGGACGAACTAAATTGTGGCAAGTTTTAAAATAATTAAATTTCCGGTGGGAGAAATCAAACCGAAAATCACTTTTGCTTGACCGGGAGGAGATACGTGAGTAAACTCAGGTCATACTCTAAAAAAATTTGGTCAGATAAAAATATATTAAGCTCCAGGTAAGTCTTTATGGAAGGTTGGTCTACTGGTATCTTCCCACCTTCTGCTAAAGGCAGTAGATTAATAATTTCTCACATTGGCAGTGAAAAAGGATTTCTTAAGCATGGTTTGTTGGAATTTCAGACCAAAAGCACAAAAGACTATCACGAGGAGATGACAGCTGATGTTTTCGAAGAGTATTTTGAGCAGATGATTGAACACATACCACCAAATTTAATTATAGTATTAGATAATCCACCTTATCATTCACGACCAGTAGAAAGACTTCCAACGACTGCGTGGAAGAAACAGGATATTCTTGACTGGCTGCGGAATAAGTATCTGCTTACGAAGATGGAATGGTAAAAGCAGAACTTTTAAAAATTGCCCGGCAACACAAATCTGTTCAAGAAATACGTAGTTGAAAAAATGGCGGAAAGGCGAAACATCACAGTCCTTGGACTTCCACCCTACAACTGCGAAATAAATCCAATTGAACTCATTTTTTCACAACTGAAAAATTATGTGGCTAGAAAAAATACGTCATATAAAATACAAGCTGTACGTGAATTGTTATACGAGTCTTTACAACATATTACAGACAGTGGCGGCGCCTGATGTAAAGTATTGGGGGTGCACACTTATTATATATACCATATTAAAATAGATAACACCATAGGCCTCCGCTTCAGCCCTACTTCTGTAAGCAAAAAATTTTTGAGTGTCGTCAAATTGTAAAAATCAAAGGATCTTATTAAGAAACTACAATAAATAATGTATTTTATTAAACTTAAAATTATAATTTAGTTTTTAAATGTTACAAGCAAGTTTTGTATTGAAAATCAAGTCGCCTGTCTTTTTTTGAGATAAATTCTTCAATAACCAATTCATTAAAATTTGGAATTTCTTGAATCATTTTTTTTTTCAATTGATAACATGGCGAGTGCAGTTAGTCTATCCTGGCCCATAGTACTTCTAAGGAAAGTTTTGATACGTTTCAATGTAGAGAAACATCGTTCTGCTTCAGCTGTTGTCATTGGCATCGTAACAAGTACTTGAAGAATTAAATAAATTTCAGAAAAATCTTCTTGCAAATTATATTCAATCAAAAATTTAAGTAAGTGAAATGCTCCGGAAAGTTCTTTAAAATCGGATCTTCTATAAACAATTTCCAATTCAGTCCTTAATTTGTTTTTATTTAAAAAGGGATAATTGTTAATTGCTGATTCCAATGTCAATGTAGGAAAATTTGAGCTATATATTTCAAAATTGTCCACTGAAAATAATTTTGTTATTTCCAAATGTCCTGTAAACAAAAACCTTCTCTTAATTTCAGATAGTATAGTATCGCAAACTTCCTTAGCTTGAATAATTGTGGAGACATAAGAATTTCTGTCATCTTTCTTCCGTCTCTTCCTGGATTGACTATCGTCAATGTCTGTTAACTCAATGTCTCTTATAGTGTGAATATTGTCTCTTTCTTTTTGTATATTTTCTTCAAATGTAGTCAGGCATCGTTTTACGATTACGGAATCAGTAGCAGTTTTTTGTATTTGTGAATATAGTATGTCAACGTGGGGCATAATACGATGAAAAACTTTCAACCAAAATACAAATTTATTATCATTCAATAACCTTAAAAGTGCACCTGCTTTTGTTATGGTTCCAGATTGCCTGGATGTGGATTGTATTCTTTCCATACACTCTATTAGGGCTTCTCTATTTTTATACACCATGTTCACCGTTCTAATTTTGAAATTCCATCTTGTAGCAGATGCTGACGGAACCCTATTTCCCACAACTTCATCTAATATGGCAACTCTCTGAGTTATGGCAACACAACTTAAACATTCTTCTATGCAGCCAGCTAAGGAAACAGCATCGTGGTTATTTGGTTTTAAAAAAGTCCAAAATCTTTCAACAGGGGTCCCGTTTGGTAAAGTGTAACGAGAAACTATAACCATTTGAAAAATATTTGAAATGTCACTCGTTTCATCACTCACAATGGAAACAAATTTTGAAGCAGCAATTTCTTTTTTGATATGTGCCTGACACACTGAAAGCATACAATCGAGTAAATCATTTTGAATGTCTTTTGACGTTCCTTTAAACACAGTAGCTTGCTGCAAATGGTCTTTGAGAGCTAAATCCAATTCGGCGGAAAAATTTATGAGACCTCTAAATATACCAGGGTTTATTGAATCCTTTCTTTCATCATGGCCGCGGAGAGCAAGTTTAAAAGCACCACAAAATTTGACACAGTTTATAATTTTTGATAAGACGTACCTATTATTTTTTATTTGTGCATTATGTTTTGCAATATTTAATCGGTATGCACTATTTAGTTGTTGCCGAATATCTTGTTTACCTAATAAATTAAAACCTAATTTAGCAGATATGTGTGACTTTGAATGTTGATGCTTTTTAATTTTTTCGGATAAATGAACTAAGTCTTTATACCATTTTTTGTCCATTCTGATTCCTCATCTCCAAATAGCAAACACGGAAAACAGTAAAGAGTATTGGTAGTAGCACACCCACATAACCAGTCAGTTTTTTCATAAATCTCAATTTTAAATGATCGTTTATAATCTCGACTTTTGCATTTTGTTACCTTCGAAATTAACAAATTTGGTTTAGGACGACCGGCACTTTTAATTTTTAATTGTTCTTCTAAAGATAGTGAAGAAAATTTAATTGATTTTAAATAATCCACGCTAACATTCACGCTCTCCATTCTTAAATTGTTTGAAACTTTATAAGCAACACTATCACAGCAAAATTTAAATGTGTATTTGTCGTCCCTACAAATTACAATGAAAATATGACTTAGGATCGCCGATCACAATCCATTTGTGCACACCAGGCCAGCTACAACGCCGGACTATTGCGGGGAAGTGGGAAGTGCGGTCGGTGGTATTGGGCCAATGAAAATTAATTTTTACCCGAGCAGTGCTCTGGAGATTGTGCCTCATGTCACGAACCCGTGAAATTTCCGCATGTCTAAATAGAATAAAAATAATTAATGTTACCTATTACTTATAAGCTGCTCGGATCTGTAATTTCTGATTTCAGTTACGGTTAATTAGTTGATTAAAAATATTATTTATAGTGAAGGAACCGCCACTGATTACAGAACAAAACTGGAAATATGCAGTAAGACATGTAATAGAAGAATCACAAAAATGTGGGGTGTTGATAACATAATGGATGCGACCGTAGAGACAGAGCCGCTAATTATTAACCCTCAAGACGATTCGGATTCCGAGGTTGATCCTATTTATTTTGAATTTAAATAGTTTTCTAATCGTAATTATATAAGGTAAGTAATAGTAGTTGTAATCGTAAGATATTAAAGGGACAAGGTGCAAAATGTCGCCTGTCAAAATGTTCAATGTGTTTTAAATGTATCCATTTTTTTTAAATCCTGAGAAAACCAAAAAGCATTTTTGAAAAATTTAAAGGCAGAATGAAATATTCATTAGAATTAATAAAAAGTTTCTTTTGCATGCAATATTTTCAATTAAAAATTATACTATATTTTCTCTTTTATTTTCACCCCTGTTACATGACATATTAAAATAAACATTGTAGAAGTTTTCAGGGACTTTATGCCCTCAGTAATAATGTAATCTTTCATTCTGCGTTTAAATTTTTCAAAAATATTTGTTAGTTTTCTCCGGTTTCGAAAATAATGCATACATTAAAGCACATTGAAAATTTTGCCAGGCGACATTTGACGCCTTTCCCCTTAATTAACAAATGTATCTTTTACAAATGACAAGAAACTTTTTATTTTTGAATAAAATAAAGAAGTTTTATTAAAACAAAAATACAATTTAAAAAATATATCTATTTAGTTCAAATAAATGTTTCAATCATATACTCTACGACACTGATCGGCCCAAATACCTTCGTAATCGGATTATAAGGTTGATCGCTGTATTGTATTGCTGCAGATACAAGGTGGGTTAGTCGAAAACATCTTAAACCGTCAGTTTCAGGTTGGTTTTTACTATTATATCGTATTACCTATCCTCTCTTGTATTTCAGTTCTCTAATTAAGATTAAACTGGTAGTGAACTATCAACAAATTGTGAACCGAGTATAGTGATAGCACAAGATTATGAAGATATTGAGTATATGACTCCAAAATTAACCGAGGAGTATAAAAAATGGGGACTTGAAATCAATATCAAAAAAACCGAGGAAGATGGAGAAGTTATCAAACATTGCAACACATAAATATTTAGGTATGATCATCACAAAAGAAGGCAAGTAGACGACACACTTGAAAGAAAAAACAACCAAGCAAGAAAAGCAATTTCCCTTCTCAATAGTATCCTTTGGGATCAATCAATCTCTAATAACAACAGTACCCTATTATCGTGATCGGCGATGTTATATGCTGTCTCGGTATGGAAACAATATCATAGTATTGTTCTGAAGCTATTTTCTGATAGGTATATATCATAGGGCCTGATAACATCCCATAAAGTAAAAGATTAAAAATAAAAAAAGCCTTAGAAAAAGAATTAGGAAAATATACGTTAGTTTTGTTTTATATTCATTATTATCTAAATCTTTCAAATAATTGGTTACTTTTCACAATTTATTCGCTGTCATTTTTGGACATACTCGCATGCACTCTCGATAGTGAGTTATAAATTTAGATAAACAACTTTTAGAAGACTACGGGTAGTCACTAGATATTCAAGGCCGAAGACAACTTATATCTGACTGGCTACGTAATGTACTAAAGAACAAGAAGAACTTGTCTTCGCGACAATCATCATGGCGACTTAATTTAAAATCGAACGTTTTTACCTACTATTTTAACTAGCTACCTAATATTCTGGAAAATTACAAATAGTTCTTTTTCTAGATTATTCTTCTCACCTCACTACATGAACAATGTCGAAACAGAGACAGCACAGCCATACAAATGAAGCTAAAATGAATAGGTAAAATATGGAACCTGAAAATAAAATTAAATATTAGAGATAATGTTATTACAAGACTATGAATACGTTAAAAAATAAGTATAAATTTTCGGTTTGTTGTATAGTTTATTTCACGAAAAATGGTTTAGTACTTAATGATTGCAATAAAACCCGACCGCAAGTACCCTAGCTTAGTCAACATTAGTTGAGCAGGTAAGTATTCAGGTAAAATTGAAGCTACTGTGGAGTGTCGTTATCTTGTAGTATCATAAATTCCTGGTAATATAAAAATGATTGAAAAATCGTATAAAATTATAAAAACGATTAGAATACATTTTACTTCATCAAGTTGTAAACATTTTAACAGTGAGTTTCACTATCAATGGTTGATCTTTTAATGACCACAATAAATTTGTTGATCGTTAAGTATTTCCTGGAATAATTATGCAGGTTCCCTCTATTCTGTATAATTTGTAAAAGTATATAAAACCGATGAGAAATTTTTAAATATACATTTTGTTTCATTTAGTTGAAAGTGTTACAAGTGTTATCAGTGTTATACCTATTTAAACCTATAAAACAGCATTATGTGGTGTCCGTGGAAAAACATTGATGGTGCTTCTTCCAGTGTTCCAGCAAAGAAAAAGCATTTATCTGATGACGCTAGAGAAATCGTAAAAACAATATATAGTTCTTTACTTACAAGAGGACTTACTGCTAATACTGCTGCCAGTGAAATATCTGATTTAACGAAAATACCTCTAACCACAGTTAAAAGAATTATATAAAATCCCATTAAGTCAAGAAGGAAGCGTAAGGATGACGGTTCTACCAAATGATTTTCATTGTTTTATTTTGAAAATCCATCACTACATGGTTCTTCGATAATTCGTCTACACCTACTATCATATCATGTGACATATTCGGCATTATCACACATTGTAAAATGTAAAATGTCTATTTAAAACTAAACCGTTAGAAAACCAACATATTGTCTTTCTTATTTTCTGGGAATGTCTTTGAACGTATAAAATTCACTTTCCAAACAAAAACACTTTCTATAACTAATGCTAAATAGTATCATATACTGGGTGTTTGGGATTTCTGTTGGTCGGTGATTTGATTTTTGTCTTAATATTTTCTATTTGATTTTTGAAATTTATGGAACCTTATTAGTATATACTCTAAATAGAACTATTATTACTGTACATTTTTAACGATATCCCAATAGGAAGAGCAAAAACTTTTAAACACGCCAGTTTTTTGCTGACAGTCCTAAGCCTGTAACAAGTGTGAAGGTAAGTACCTTTCTGAATTTAGATCCATATACTACAATTATTCACGTAGAACAAAAAAACTACTTTCTTCACGTTAAAAAATGTTCAATTATCAAGCATATTTACTTGAGCAACCTCATACATAACTATACACAATAGGATCAACTCAGGTAACCATTAAGCACTCAACTATTTTTCGTGAAACAAACTTTACTTAAAATTAATAAGTGTCTGAAGGGCTCATAAACCATAATCATAGCAATAACCCCAAAAATAGTTAAAAATGTGCCTTCCAAGAGTTAAATAAATCGATAATTAAGTAAATACAATATGTTTTTGTAAACGCGGCAAAAACTCACGAAGAGTTGTAAAAGCCAATGATGATGATGATGAATATGTTTTTGTTGTTATGTATAATCCGACAAGCGAGTGCTGGCGGATGAGCTGCGCAAAAATAGAAAAGGAATTATTCTAGAGAGATAGGAGAGGCACTTAATCGCGACTATAGGTATATAGTATAGGTACTTAAACGGTTATACACGATGTGAACTCCTAGACGACTGCAATAAAAATGAGCAATCCCTTCCGCTTTTCAATTTATTCTACGCGCAACCCGCCAGCTCTCGCTTGTCGGGGTATAATATTCCTAAAAGTTAAAAACTTAACAGATTTAATGTGAAGAGCAGTTTAATATAAAAAAAACCCTGAATTATTTCTCCATAATACTGACTTCTAAACCTTATACTAAACTTTACACAAGTGATTTGTTACGTGTAACCACATAAGCGTTAAAGCCGGATTTATAAACGGACATAAACATAATTTTAGTCTTTAACCATAATCTTATTATATAAGCATAATGTTAAAAGTTAATAAATAAACGTACCCATTTATTATTAATTATATTTATATTTATTAATACATACGACATAAATTTAGTCCTTAAAACGTGACCTTGAAAGTTGGTAACTTTCAACATTTATGAATTAAGGCCTATCCTCGATAATCCTAACGGTAAAATTCAGTGAGCTATCTATTTCAAAAATATCTTTCTTTACGAAAACAAAATCCATTCACGAAGAATATTTTAAACGTCATCTGGTACTAAATTTTATATTTTTACCTACTTACAATCCCCTATTGTGAAGTCTTGGGTGTATACAATAAAGCGAGCGGGAGGTCTTCTATTCATTGCGATTATGGGGTAATTAGAATAATACGAGTATACCAGAATAATATTATTTATTGAATAATTAATTTACATTTTAGCAAGGGTACATACAGGTAACAAATAATCGTCCTGTAAATAATTCATAACAATTAAATCGAAGACAAACTTTTATAAAATTTTATAACAAAATAATGTATAACAAGATATAAGTGTATTGGTTTTTTTATGTCTTATATTTTTTTTTGTTATTGTTTTTTTGCTGACAAATTGGCTTTTAACGTATATTACAGTTTGATGATAAATATTCTGAAATGGAAAATGTTGAGATGTGGCGAATGAAATCATTCATGAAATTAAAATGAAGGGATTTACGTCTATTAGTGGTGCGATTTATAAAATTAGTAGCTCAAATCGCGGGAGGAATATATGCATTAGTTTTCAAATCTTTATTATTTACGATATAATTTCTAAATTGAACCACTTTCACTTCTTTAGGTAACAATGTATCTGTCTTGACAACTAAATAGGTAATTAGACAAAATAATGATTATTATTAATTTCAAAACGGGAGTTTAAAGAATTAGAAGAAGGTAGTCCGGGCCCAGTTAAACAATCAAGTTTATTCCAGTGGAAGCAATCAGGAGGATTGTTTTTCGTTTTGGCTCAGCTGACATGCTCTCTCTAGAACTAGAACCCATGAAACTATGGTAAAAAGCATGCTTTTATTTACACGGTTGTGAAACGAGACGATTAACAGAGACATCGAAGAAAGATATGTCGCTGAAATGGATGCAATAAAGTATGAGAATAGAAGGTACAGTCATGGATGGCATACAATGAAGGCATCTCAAATGGTACGGACATGTCCAATGAATGAAAGACAGTAGACTCCCGAAACAAGTACATCTATGAACAACTACAGGAATCCAGAAGAAAGGACTACCGTAGAAAACACGGATGGAACGAATAAAAAACTCAATGCGCTCGAAAGTACTTAAAGAACAATGGAACAACCGAATTCAATGAAAAATGGACGTCGGAAGACGTTTTATACGGATTATATCATATTACGAGTATAGGTACATTGTTATTATATCATATTATATCTATTTATATAATACATTATATACACGATATTGAAGGAGGTTACAACATAGACAATCAACAAAATCTACATTGTCAACTACATAGTGAATACCCAACAATAATAGAAGTGTCAAATGCCGTCTTAAAACATAAAGTAAATAAAGCCACAGGAATCGATTAAATCTGCTGGGAAATGTATGAAAAGGTGATGATCAACTTTTTGCAGTAATCTATAAACTAATAGTACTTATATGGCAGAATGAATTGGTACCAGAAGAGTGGCTAAATGAAATAATATGCGTTGCATAAAGGGCTATCAGCTGGATTGTAAGAACTATAGAGGCATTACTCTGTTAGCATCTGCGTATAAAATCTTCGGCAATGTATTGTTTGAAAGACAAACATTTTACAAAGGATATTGTTGATTTACTGCTGCATAATCAACTATACATCAAATTCAAACACATGGGCAGATTCTAGAAAAGTCACTAGAATATAACATAGATACACGTTATGACAGCCTATGACAGTGTTAAGCAATGATAGACTTTGGTTGGGATCCCACCGAAGTTAGTTAAGTTGACCCAATTAACAATGTAAAACGTGAGTTCGTGCGTTAGAATTGAAGGAGAAAACTCCATGTGCTTTGACGTTAATGATGGTATAAGAAAGGGGGAGGCGCTGGCTTGTCTCTTCTTTAATGTTGCCTTGGAAAAGGCAACCAGAAAATACAATATTATAATGAATGTAACTATTTTTAATAGAACCATAAGAGACATGGTGCAGTGTTTTACAAGGCTTGCGGACGCGGCAAGTGAATTAGGACTTGTGGTCCTAATTAGAAATGGTAAATGAGGAAAAACCAAATATAGGTTGGTTTTCCAACAGATAATTCAAATTAACAACCATACCTTTGAGCAAGTCAAAGAATTCACTTATCTTGGATCGCTAGTAAACGCAACAAACACGACAAGCAACGAAATAAAACGACGCATAGCAATAGAAAACAGAACTGTTCACGGTCTCCAGAAACATTTAAAAAATAAAAATATAAAACGTGCAGTAAAGCTCGATATATACAAGAACTTTTTGATAAGACCGATTTTGATATATGGGGCTAAAACGCGGATCTTATCTCAAAATGATGAAAGACTTCTTGGTATTTTTGAGAGAAAAATTCTTAGAAAGATTTTTGAGGTCGTAAATGAAAATGGAGTATAGCGTCTCAGAGACTTAGATGGGCTGGACACATTACTAGGATGTCAGATCACGAATACATGAAGAGATTAACATTTTCAAAACCAGAGGGCAGAAGAAGTTAAAAATGACCACGAAGAAGATGGATTGATAATGTGTCAGAAGCGGATTCTAAGGGTCAGAAGATGAAGGGAAGTTGTCAGGAATCAACAGGAGTGGCGATTTCTGTGCGAGCAGGCCAAGACGGATTGTCTAGGCATTTATGATGATGGTTGATGATGATATATACATGGTTAAATACAAC